GAAAAGGGCCCGGGCAGGAGGCCACATCTCATCACAGTTCGTGCCCCAGGGAGATGGGACCATCCAAAGCAGAAGTGCTGCTGTCTGTGCACAGGTGAATTTAACCTATCAGGTAGGCAGGCATCGAAACACACCAAAGCCGGAGCTTACCCTGGATCTGGCAGCATTGCTCTGGGCTGTGAGGCATGGGCCTAGGAAACCTGGAGAGAGTCAGTTTTAGCACGGTTGTTCTAAGTCACTTCACACAGAAGATACACTTAATGAGTTAAATGCACAGGCTTTCATGGGCACATCACTCTCTCCTGGTCTTGCACACAGAAAGAAAACCCAGGAGAGTTATCTCAGACAAAGCCCATTGGTCTGTTTTCTTTTGTAAACCAGATAATAGGGGCCTGTGGGCCTCCAGCTCTGCTACTGTCTGTGCAGCATTTTTCCCACTTACTGTTGATACCAGATATGAGAAACTGTGCCTCATTGCACTTGCACAAAAATAACTAAAGAGCCGTGTGAACTTGACTGCTACGTTGAAAGGGGATTGGAGGAAGGGAGATGAGCGCATCCCCGCTCACATCACTGTAAATGGCTTACACCTCTGTGGACGGTTCTGCCCTCCCAAGCCCCTTCTCTGTGGCTCCATCACCAGGGGCCTCTCTCCAGGCCTTTGCCCCCCGCCCCACACACACCCTGCCCTGCTGGCTCCTCTCTCTTTCTTCCCTCCCAAGAAAGCATGCATGTAAGTCCTGGCCCTGCTGTTTGCTATTCTTGTAAAAGCAGCATGCTCCATAACCTCCCTGTGCCTCAGTTTCCCCCATCTGTAAAGTTTCTCGGTTTCCCCATCCGACCTTCCTCTGAAGGTCACTGTGCGCAGTAGGTGTAAAGAGCCTAGAATAGTACCTGGCACATAGGAAGCTCTTTATAAGTCTCCTGCTGTTACTAGGCAGAGCAGGTTAGGAACCACCTTTTATTGGTAGAGCAAGGTTTAGGACCTGCTCTGCCTGCCCCAAGTGCCATGTTGCACTATTTCTTCCGAACAAGCAGAGTGACTTCTCTGAGGGGAGTTTTGGCAAATAAATGTCCCTGTGCTTTTCCATCTTTCTGGCTGTCTGGCATACTGTCCCTGGGAAGGAGGCTGCCCCAGCCCCTGTCATTGTGCCTGGGCAGCCTGTGGGAGGCCATGTGCTGAGGGAACCCCAAACTGCTGCTCGCTGCAGCTGCAGGACCAGGCGTTGGTTTCTCAGCCAAGGCAGCCACATGCCTGCCCCCTCCCCTGTGAAGGAAGCCAACTCTGTCCAGAGTGGTTTGGTGGGAATGCTGCCCAGCCAGGCAGCTCCTTGCTGGATGGCAGCCTACTGACCCAGTCATGAGTGGCCTCGCCCTGAGGCCCAGGCCACTCTTACAGAGAGGACAGGTAGTGTCCCTGATGCCACTGGGCCACTGTCTACTTCTGCCCGTGTGGCTCTGGCAAAGGGCGGCTGGCCCGGCTGACCCGGCTGGCCCACGGACCCTTGTACTGACTGGCACCACCTCCAGGGGTGTCTCTTCTGTGTGGCATAAAGCACCTGACAGGTGCACTGGCCCCAGTGGGGCCGGACAGGACGGCACACACTCGAAGAGCTCTTAAAGTCCCCCATCGTGATGGGCTGGACAACCCCTCAAGGTGCCCCACAGACTCCCTGGAGCTGAGCCAACTCTGCTGGGGGGACTTGAGTGGGGGCCAGGTGAGGATGACATAGGCCTTTCCCAGAAGAGCCCACCGTCTCTCATGTTCTCAAGCCCTTTGCCACAAGACGGCAGAGCTGGACTCAGACCATATTGTCATCAGCTGAGGTCTTCCCACTACGGCTCTCTGTGCCTCAATGGAGCTCCAGGCCCCCCTGAAAAGAGATCAAAGCTTTCCTGCCCAGCGCAGGTGACAGGCTGACCTCTCTTGAGGAAATGAAGGGTTCACCTGCTGGGTGCGGAGCGAATGTGCACTCCTAAGTCACATGGGAGGTGCTGCATTGTGGCCTTGTCTTTTGGTGTCCCTGCACCCCCTGCTCCCCAGTCCCATTTAAATAGTCAAATCCTGTCCTCTTTTCTGAGTATGAAGGCCCCTCCCTGACCAGGCTGCACTCAGTTCCTGGAGCTCCAAAGACACCTGCCCAAGCCAGCAGGTGGAAGTCCCTGGTCAATGTCCCCTCTCACCAGAAGGGACCTGGAAGGGAAGCTGACGCCCAGGCAGTATGAGGTATGGGCACCCTGGCAGAGGAGGGGTACAGTCCTTTTCTTTGTGGACATTTCTAGAATAAGCAGGTGAGTCTTTGCAGTTTCCTTCTGCAGTCCTGGCTCACTTTTAAAGCAGGGTCATTAAAAGGCCCTGACTCCACAGCTGCACTACCTGGTTCCCCAAGACTCAGCTGGCTTCCAGGGAGACAGCTGAAGGACAAAGCCTGTCACTCCTGACACCGAGGACAGCCCAGCTGGCCTCTCATCACCTCTGCCCCATACATGCCTGCCTTTGTCTTCTCCCTCAGGGCTCCCAAACACGAGGCCATGGACCGAGATGGTTGGGGACACAGGGGACGGAGAAAACCAGGGATGATGGAGTTTGTTTTCCAGAGAGTTACACTCTTTGCTTTAAAGGATGGATTTTTTTGAGCAAGTATGTCCTTCCTGCCCTTTTGTGTTAAAGGATGCTTTCTTTCATAAAATGAGGTGTTGGAAGATGACAGTTAGTTGTCATTCACTTAGTTATTAGTTTCTAAATCTCCTTAATTGGCAAAATCAAGGGTTATCAGCCATGTGAGGTTTCCCAGTTGTTTGGAAAGCTTGCTGTTCCGTGGTATCCCACAGCTTGTGATGGCACCTGGTGCTGCAGGAAGTGTCGCTTCCCCCACAGCACAGAGGAGAAAGGGGAGCCCTGAGCTGGGGGTGAGGGTCTGGCCGAGGGGTGGGGCTCCTGATGTTTGGAGCTAAGGGGCCTCGGAGGTAGGAGGTGGATGGGAAGTCCAGGCCTGGGATAAGAGAGCAGGGGACAGCTGTGGGCACCACGGGCATCTCCCTAAGGTAAATCCTCTGCACAACCAACATGGCTCTGAGAGTAGCTCAGTGCGGACAGGGGTGGGGGACGAGACAGGGAGGAAGGAACCCAGGCCTGGATCCCAGTTTTACCATCATCCAGCCTCACAGCTGTGGTGGCCCCTCTGAGCTCTGTCTGCCCACCAGCAAAGCCGGGGCTGCTGGCCTAGAGGGTCTCCAAGGCTTCTCCTGCTCTGGCTCTGCTTGCCATAATCCTAGAACTTCAGATGCTCATGGTTTGGGGTCCAAGAGACCCACATCTCACACCTGTAACCCGAGCACAACCACAGGTCCCCTGGTCAAAGGGCTGTGGTGAGGGTTGAGGAGATGGAGCCTCGGAAGCTCTCAGCGCCAGACTCAGCACACAGCCCACACCTGATAGACTCTGCCCTCGGCCAAGGTCCTGCTGGGGCAGGAGAGAAACCCATGTGGGCCGAGTGGAGTTAGATCAGGCTTGACAGATGCTGAAGAGAATCTCCCTGCCCCTTCTAAGGCCCTGACAGCAGTGGGTCTCCACGGGGGCAGTGCCTGAGAGGAAGACCAGGCAGCCTGTGTCCCTTCCCCGATGCATTAGGGTGACGGGCGCAGGAAGCTGGCCTTTGGAGGAGGACCACTGACCCAGCCTGCGCAGGACGTCGGCCAGCGGTGAGCCCAGGCCAGTTTCTAATGCCCGAGCTGACCCCAAACACCCAGCTTCTCTTTCCTCCCCGACCCCCAGTCTATATGCACACCCAGCTTGCCTGGTGGCAGGAGGGGGGTGGGCAGCACGGTCCTCAGGGACAGCCTCTGGGGGCAAATGCCCTTGGCTTTGACCGTCATCACTCACTTGACCTGTCCAAGCCTCAGCTTCCTTGTCTGCAAAGTGGGGGTGTCAATAGGACCCGCACTTCAGGTTGTCGTGAGGGTGAACTGGGCTAACAAATGCTCGGCACAGCCGGTCTCTGCTCAAGTCAGTGCTCAAAACAGGTCTGTGCTTAGACACTCACCCCCGTCCTGCCAGGAGAAGGGCAGGGCCCTGGCTGCTCAGAGAACTTGCTGCCAGCCCAGGGAGCCACCTGAGATGTGCAGATGGACACGCCTTTCCCCAACTGCGCCTGGGACTGCTCAAGGCCCGAGCAGGGAAATGGTCAGACCACAGGGCTGCAGGGGTGAGGGCCTCCTTCCGACATCGGACAAGAAGGGGGTTTTTAAAAGGAACCTTCAGCAAATGGCTGGTTCCTCCCTTGTTAGGACAACTGACACATTCAGCAATATATCCCCAAGCCAGGCAACAGGGGCAACTGATGGTGGCAGAGAGACCCACCTGGGTGGGACACAGCTGGGTGCTGAGGAGAGAGAAGCCGGGCACGCAGGGAGAGGCTGCTCGCTGGCAGTGGTGGTGATTTCCTCTGCTCCCAGGGCCCAGAATGCAACTTCTGGGTGAACTGAATGTCCTTTCTTGATTAAACTCAGCCTATATTCTTGGCTCCCCAACAATGGCTTCTTCTAGAGACCAAAATTCCCTCGTAGGTTTTCTGAGCTGGGCATCTCTGACCAGCACCTGAGCCGGGCGAGGTGCTTTCTAACACACCCACCACCAGGGAGCCCAGAGCTTCCTCCTGGCTCACAGAGCCCGGACCCACTTCTTCTGGCCCCTGGTGCCCCGGGAGCCCCCAGCACCACAGCTCATGGGCAGCTGGGGCGTGGGATCAGGCCCCAGAGTGGCTCTGAGAGTTCCAGCGCTGCAAACCTGCCATAAGACTGGCTCCCCAAACTCCAAGGTCCAAGGTGGGCTTCAGCTGGACCAACACAAGGCAGTGGGGGGCCAAGCAAGTCATGTCTCTCCATCCCATGACCTAAGAATACCCATCCCAGGGCTGGCCCTCACTAAGCCCCTCTTGGGAGTCGCCCTCCCCCCTACCGGTGCCAGGGCGCGGAGGGCCCCCGGGTTGCAGGGTACTCACAGCACGCACAGCGCGTACGCCCGGGAGATGGACTCGCTGGCGCGCACGAGGAAGCTCCCGTCCTTGCCCGTCCTGGAGAGCAGCTCCTCGGCTTTGGAGCGGGTGATGTTGCCGTGGTTCCAGCAGGGGACCATGGTGGGTGTGGGCCTCCTCGGGCCGGCCGGCGGCCAACCCCAGGACCAACACACCAACCGAGGGGAGCTGAGGCCCCTGTGCTGCGACCTGCCGTCTGTCCTCTCTTGGGTCGCCTCGGCTGCTGCCACCAGCTTAACTGACTGACTTCCTGTTTCAGGCACTCAGCGAGGGAAAGGAAACTGAGCTGCAGAGAACTTCCTCATTACAGAAACCAAGCGAGAGAGAGAGAGAGAGAGAGAGGGAGAGAGAGAGGTCTCTGTCATCCACCTCCCCTCCCCGCCCATCCACTGTCGGCCGCCCTCTCCCTGTCCCTCTTGGGCCCTTGTCTTTCCTTGAGTTGGTTCTCAGCCTCCAGAAGCCTCATGAGTGAAGTGAAGTCCTGCCTGGTGGAATTATCAGCAACTTTGGCATCAGGAGATCGTGGCTAGCTTCTGAAGAAGCTGGGCCTAGCAGGCGTGGACGGGCCAAAGGAATGGCTGTTCTGAGGCCCGTACTGATGGCCACGTGGGATGGCCATGCCCTGGACAGGCCCCCCAGCCTCCTGCTCTATCCCAGGGCTTTTCAATCCCCACTCCTCCCCGCCACCCCCGCCAACACACCCACCAGACAGAGCTTCTCAGTTGGGGCTAAGGCCTGTCCCAGGAGAGAGCAAAATTGAGTGGGAGGGGAGAGTCAAACCTTGACCCTCCCCACTGGTGACTCACAGACGTTGTACAGCCTGGGCGCTGGGAAAACCTTCCCTACCACCACGACCTGAGGACTCCAAGGGCCCAGGAGGTGGCTCTATGACACCGATACACTCATTCCCAGGGGCAGGTGGGTGTGAAGGAACCTGGCGATGACCATTCCCATGGGCGGCACTGCTCTGATCCCTGCAGCCTGGCTTGCAGACACACACTGGGGACAGGGGCTGTTACAGTGCAAATGCTGGCTAGATTCCCACCTGAGTGTCTCCAGGATGCTCAGGAAAGAAGCTCAGGGAGGAGACCCACACATCCTCATCTCAGCAGAGTCGGAGGTGGCCAGCTGGACTGCACCCCCTTTGCGGCTGGGAATGGCCACATTTGCCCAGCGCTCAAAGGGGGGCTGCCTCTATGGTGCCGCCCTCCAGGACCAGCAGATTTCCGAGGGTTCTAAAATGGACACCTGTCCCTTGGATCCAGAGCTGGGTGCCCTCAGTCCTTGGGTCAAGCCCAAGGGTGAAAGGCAAGTGTTGACCACATGCACAAGTGGTGGTTCCCCAGTCCCTCACCCAGGCTTTACCCCCCAGGACACAACAACAGACCCCACTCCACGAGCCCGAGGCAAGCAGCTCCTCCACATTCGAGCTGGAGGAGCTTGGTCACGTTTCTTATCTCTCTCAGCCTCGCTTTCCTCTTCTGGAGCTTGAGGGACACGGCTACTAAAGGAGCTCATGTGTGTGCAGGGGCTGCATGTGAGCTGTGCTGGTGGTGGTTTCAGAACAGGAGCCCCCAGCACCTCCCACCTGCAGTGGCACCCACAGCAGGTGAACTCATTCAAGGACCCCGTGAGCTAAGTGTGGGGACACAGTGGTGACAAGAGCTGGCCTCCACACTGGCCTTCCCAAAGCAAGCTTGGTCCTGAGGCCACGACTCTGCAGCCGCTGCAGCAGAGGTGCTCGTTCCCCAGGGTGCCTCCACTTGCCTCATGGCTCTCTCCTTAAGAAGTCCCTGCTCATCCTTGCACACACTTGCACCCTTCTGCTGGCTTCCCCACTTCCCCGGAGCCCCAGGCCTCTCCAGGGTCCATCAGGAGGGTCCAACTGCAGTCTTGGCCCCTTTGTGCCTTGACTAACTCATTTCCAGAGACCCTCCATCACATCCAAAGACTGTTCCACTTAGAAATATCTTCTTATCACACCCTCCATCTCTCATGCCTCTATTCCCACTGTCTTTGCCATTGGACCCAATGAGATGCCACAAGACAGATGTGACACATACATGACACATAAATGCCTCCCTGATTTTTAAGGCCCATCCCATCATCACTTCCTTTCCCACCAATGGCCTGAACCATCCAACGTGGTCAGCTTCCTTGTCTCCCTGTCCCTCTGGCCCCGTGTTCAGAAAACCCCAGCACCTAGACCAGGCTGCCCGCATGGTGCCTGGTGAATATTTTTTTCAGGGCCCCTGTCTATACACACAATTTAATTCAAACACGTATTATAAAACTCACGGGCCCATGTGAGGTATAGTCACTTACCAATGAAGATTTAGAATAACGGCTAGAAAGGAGGTAATTACGTGCACGGTCAACGTCCAGTCAGGGCACATGAAGTGTCTTCATGATGTCCCTGTCCTCTCTTCAATTCCATGTATTTTATTGTCAAGTGCACCATTCCTGGCTGATTTTGCATCTCACACAGAGATGTAAATAAAGACATTATACTCAATGCCACGGCTCTTCAGACCTGTTCTTACGGGGACGACACAGATCGTTTGGCCTTGGCATTTCCCTAACACCAGTTATTTGCTGCTGGTCACATCATCGCATGACGCTCCTCCACTCATTGTGCCACCCGTGAATATGGCTTCAGTGATCCCCTCCAGCATCATCCTTTTGCTTTGCTAATGACCACAAATGCACGTCTTACCCAGAGCATGCAAGAAAATGTTAACGATGACTCATTTTCTTGTTTTGTTAAATTTACTCTTCTGAATTTCATAACATGAACAGAGAACACATCTTCCAACCATATTCTTTTGAACTTTTTAAGCCATAGTCACCACATTCCTATATTTTAGTCTCTTTCCATGACCACACTCTGCCTTCCACACACGGGAGCAGTCCCACGCTCCAGGGATGTCCACCCACATCTGCATCGCCTAAGATTGACCTGGAGAGCTCAAAGTCACCGCATGGATGGGAGGTGGGAGAGAATGTTGATTGGAAGAGCCCGTGGGTGTTGTAGAGCAATGTTCTCAAAAGCCCTTGGAGGAGGTGGCTGCTGACAGCTGGATGGGAGCCTCCAGAGGGGTGGAGGGACTGCCTGGGTGCTGTTGGCCAGGGCACAGAGGGTACAATACACCTGCCACCTTCCCTGATGCCCTCGGTGCTCAAGATCTCTCAGGAGTGACTTGCTCCACAGGCTGCTCCCTAGAGCCATGCCAGCCACGGGCCCCAGAATGATCCCATAGGTGTGAGTCTCTGTGCTACTTGGGGCATCTGGTTAACCCTGCATGTGGGGCAGAGGGGGAGAGGTGGGGTCAGGTACCGACAGGGGCACCCCACCCACTGGCACTGCCAGCTCTGCCAATCTCAAGCAATGGAGGGAGGACTTAGAAAATTTGGGGGAAGTCAGGATAGTGGGGAGCATAGGGGTGGTCTGGCAACACCTGGTCATGGGCACTGGGCTACCTCTAGAGGCCCTGGGAAGAATAAACAGACCTCAGTGTTGAAGAGGTGAGCTCACATGGCAGGTGCCAGGGCACAGGAGGGAACCTCAGTGAAGCAGGTCACAGGGTTCTAGCGCTATTCATTTGAGCGCCAGGACAAGGTCAGGGCAGGAGAGGGACCATGAAGTCCCAGCTCTAAGAACTGGAAGGAGTGGGGAGGTCGAGGTCACTCCACACATCACCCAACAATATATCTAAGTATTGATCATCAGGCTTCCCATCCCCTCCTGTGTTGATGGAAGCCCTTCACTGTACCCCGGGACTCCCACTCCCTCCAAGCCTGGGCAGATAGACAGGCATCACCCACACTTGCAGGCATGGAGGGGAGTGGCAGTGTCTATTCACTGAGTCCCCAAAAGCAAAGGGAGCTGTGAAGGTCAATTTTGTGTGTCAACTTGGCTGGACCACAGTACCCAGATAATTGGTAAAACATTGTTCTAGATGTCTCTGTGAAGGTATTTTTTAGATGAGATTAGCATTTAAATCAGTGAACCGAGTAAAGCAGATTGTCGTGGGTGGGCCTCATCCGATCAGCTGAAGGCCTTAATAGAAAAAGACTGACCTCCGAAGAAGACAGAACAGGCCAGCAGATGGGCTGCAGACCGGACCTGCACTCTCAGCTCTCCCCTGGGCCTCAGGCCTGCCGGCCCACCCTGCAGAGGTTGGACTTGCCATCCTCGACAATTGCACGAGCCAATTCCTTAAAATAGATCTCTATCTATCTATGTGTATCTCTCTATATAGATATGTACAGCTGGTTCCACATCCATGGTTTTAACCAACTGCACATTGAAAAAAAATGTTTTTAATTGCGTCTGTACTGAACATGTACAGACTTTTTTCATGTCATTTTCCCTAAGCAATACAGTATAACAACTATTTACATAGCATTTACATTGTATTAGGCATTATAAGTAGTCCAGAGATGATTTAAAGGATACAGGAGGATGTGCACAGGTTATGTGCAAATACTGCCAGTCTCCTGTTGGCTGTTTCTCCGGAGAACCATGACGAATAGAGGAGCAAACACTTGGCTGTGAAGTTGGAAAGCTACTGGATGGCGGGTGTAATCAGGAATGAGATTCTCTCAGCCCCAGACCTGATAACGAGATGTCTGGGGCTGGAGGAGGGGGAGGAGTGGCCACTCACAGGGAGCCTCCCAGGTCAGGCACCCCGGTTCCCAGGGCCAGGGAGCCCAAGGCAAGTGGGTCAGCCCCTGGTCACCTGGTCGCTGCCATCGAGGAAGCCCGTTTGGGAAAACCAGTCAAAGACCTTGCTCGGGGCTCATCAGGAAAGAGCGATGCTCTCCTCTCCTGAGAATTAACCCTGCCCCCATTGGCTCCTCCCAAATCAAAGGCCAAGGACACTTACTGAGGTGGTGGAGAGCAGGGCGGGTCCCGGCCCCTCACCGGGGTGAAAGTAGACAGACCTGCTGGGGATGTCCTGCAGAGCTGGGACACCTCCAGACCTAAGATGGACATCTCCAAGCCCCTGATCATCTACCAGGAATGAAGGATTCCCCATCCAGCCCCTTTTCTCTCTCCCCATCCAGCCCTCTCTCCCCTGCCCCCCTCCCCGGTCAT